TCCCCATTGACCCCCTCCAGTCCTCCTCTCCTCCTGCCCAGGCTTTCACCACTCTATTGTGTGTGTCCATGGGTTTTATATATCTATACTAATAAAAGGGTGATCTGCTCATTAGAATGGGTCGACTGGCCATCTTCCAGACTTCCGATTTCCTTCTGGACAAAGCCATGGTGGTGGGGGCTGAGGCAGAGAGGGCAGTTGGGGGCGAGATCAGGCCAGCAGGGGAGGGCAGTTAGGGGCGATTAGGCAGGCAGGCAGAGAGGTTGGGGCGATCAGGCAGGCAGGCAGAGAGGTTAGGGACGATTAGGCAGGCTGGCAGAGGGGTTAGGGGCCATCAGGCAGAGGCAGTTAGGGGCGATCAGGCAGGCAAGCAGGTGAGCAGTTAGGAGCCAGCTGTCCCAGATTGGAGAGGCTGAGGGAAACCACCCCATGCACGAATTTTGTACACCGGGCCACTAGCTCAATAATAAAAAGTCAAATTACAAAATTTAAAAATTTGAATTGATGTTTCACCATGAGGGCATAGTTATGGCAATAGCACATGAAGAAATGCTCAAGATCATGGAAGTGTAATCTAAAACCACAATAAGACAAACTATTTCACATCCACTAGAATGGCTAAAATTGAAAAGACAATAAAAACTACTAGTGAGAATGTAGAGCTACTAGAACCCTCAAATGGGATAATCTATAATTGTGCAACCATTATGGAAAATATTTTGGCAGTTAAATGCAAATCTACCATATAATTTAGCAATTTCACTTGTAGGAATATATCCAAAAGAAATAAAAACACATTTTCATGTAAAGAACTCATAACAAAATACTTATAACAATATTATACCATTCTCAATAGCCAGTGGAAACAACTCAAATGTCCATTAACTGGTGAATGGACAATAATATAATATGATATATTTATACAAAACACTACTTGGTAATTAAAGAGAACAAAGTACTAATATAACTACCACATATAGGAACACAGTAGAGAAACAGCCAGGCACAAAAGACCACATATTATAGAAGTGAATTTTTATGAAATTTCCAGAAAAGTTATCTATAGAGACAAAGCAGATTAGCAGCTGTCTGTGGCTAAGAATGGGGAATGACTAAATTGGCACAAGGAATCTTTTGATGGTAATGAAAATACTCCAAAGTTAAGGTGTGTTGGTTGCACAACTGTAAATTTACAAAATATCATTGAATTGTACACTTAAAACAGGTTAATGTGATGGTATGTAAAGCATATCTCAACAAAGCTGCTTAAAAATGTTAAGCTAAGAGGTCCACAGCATATTGTTATGTGAAAAAAAAAAAATCTTTCCAAAACCTATTATATAACTTACTTTCAATTAAACATTTAAAAAATCTTGAAGTGCATAAACAAGAATATGAACAAGTCTGGGGAGTGAGATAATGGGGAAACTTGTACTTTCTGCTTTATAGCCATTTTGTTTGCTTGTTTTTAAATTTTCAAACACAGAACAAACTCTCACACATGGGTGCAAAGCAAGGGAGGTGGTTTGAGTAGGTGCCGTAGAAAGAAGCAGTCACAACCAGCCGTCAGGAGGGGAATGCTACAGGCATCTGGTGGGTAGAGGACAGGGATGCTACACAACATCCCAAAATATAGAGGACAATCCCCACAACAAAGAATTACATGCCCGGCTGGCGAGCATAGCTCAATGGTTGAGGGTCGACCTATGAACCAGGAGGTCAGAGTTTAATTTCCAGTCAGGGCATATGTCCAGGTTGAGGGCTGCATCCCCAGCAGGGGGAATGTAGGAGGCTGCTGATCA